CCCCTCTTTCTCTCCCACTCCCCTACTCCTTGCCCTCCTCCTCCCCTCTCCTTCCTCTCTCCTCCTCCCCCTCTCCCCTGATAATCCCATCACTCAGCGGGAGAGCAGTGGCTGGGAACAGGCCGTCGATAGCGCCACTCGTCTCTCGTCCCCGCGCCGCTGAGCGCCTCGCAGGCATCTCATTTAGCGCCTGTCAGAGCGGCGGGCGAGCGCACGGGACGGCCTGTCGGGGCGCAGACAGGCAGAACGCTGTATAATAATCTCCTTCCCCCCCCCCCGTTTCCAGCCGAGCCCCCCGCCCCCCCGAGAAAGGAGCAGGGATTCTCGAACCCGTGCACACGGCACAGGGCCCTATCCCGGGGGGAGGGGGGTCCGTTTGACAGCCGTTTCCCAGGCGGGGGGGCCCTGCTCCTCCCTCCTCCCGTCCTTCTGCAAGAGCTTCCTTCCTCGGAGCGGGGAGCCCGGCGCCCCGCGGCAGAACCGGCCGATCTCGGACCAAGACCCCGAGCAGAGAGGTCTCCCCCCTTCCCTCCCCGAGACCCCCCCCCGTTTTCACAGATCTGCCGCGGGGAAGACGCCCCCCGGCCGCCGGCTCCCGAACAGCTCCGCCCCCCCCCTGCTGAACCCGTGACCCAGCCCGAGGGCGACCCCGCGCGTTACTGAAGGGCTCCGGTCCACGCCTGGGCGCTCGGACAGCCGGCCGGACTCCGCCAGCGCCGCGGATCCAGTCCCCGACGGGCCAGGAGAGGCGCGAGAGAGCGAGATGGGGGGGGCGGTCTCACTAGTGCACAAGAGCACAGCACGAGAAACGGGGAACAAGATCAAAGATGAAGACCAGAGAGGAGGAAGAGAGAGAGAGAAGGAGAACTGCAGTGTGGGGCCCAACAAGCCGCGGGCCGACGGCCAGCATGCCGCGCGGAGCGGCTGTAATTAATCGGGGCCGCGACCCCTGTACCACGGAATCTCGTTAACGCGGCCCGATCGATGGGCGTCCGGGAGCTCCTGGCGTCGTTATTCCCAGCGGCTCTCGACCTTGGGCCGGGAAACTCGAGAACACGAGCGCGTCGTGCTCAGCTGGCTGACTCCCAGGAAGGCAGGGTAGCGGCGCTTTAACAACACGGCCGGGCAGCTTGTTCCATGCTCCCACCACCCTTTGTGTAGAGCAGTGCCCGTGAAAAGAGGACTCTCTGCCCTAGCCAGAAGGTAAAGAGCTTTTTTTTTTTAATTTCTTAAAACGTAAAAGCAGAGAACCAACCCCAAGCCTCACACACACACACACACCCTCTCTCCCTCTATCTCCCTGGAATCCCGCCCGGAGAGAGAGGGACACCAACAGAAAGAGTGAAGCTCGGGAGAGAGACAAAAGCCATAACCAGGCTTTAAACAGCCAAAGGCGGAAGGCTGGTACCTATCCTGAGGTTGGGATCCTCTACAACCCTGCCCTGGGGTCTCTCTCTGCAGAGGGGGGAGATGGGAACTGGGTCTTTTTTTAAACGTAGAAGACCTACAGAGAGAGACGCAGGGACAGAGAGAGGAGAGCGACGAGAGAGACACAGGGACAGAGAGAGGAGAGCGACAGAAGAGAGAGAGGAGAGAGACACAGGGACAGAGAGAGAGGAAAGAGAGCGGAGAGAGAGAGAAGAGAGAGACAGGGATAGAGACGGGAGGGGAGGGGGAGGGGAAAGAGATGGACAGTGTCACACATGGAAGTGTCTTGAAGACGGAGGGCAGGAAGAGAGCTGAATCCTCTATAACCTCCCCTCTCCAGCACAGAAACTAATTAACAGGAACACGGGGCGATTCGGCCCCGGGCGCGAGGACTCTGTTTAAGAGGCTGTGACAGTGGGGTGGAAGAGCCGGCTCATTCGGCCTCGAGGCCCTCCGGCGCTTGACACACAGGAGGAGACGGGAGGGGGCACGTCCGTTCGGAGGCCAAGCGATCATCCGAGTCTGGTTTTAAATAAGAACCCC